TTAGTTTCTTACTTCTCCCTGACAACAGCTGCGGCACCTTGTGTACAGCAGAGAAGCATTCTTGCACCCACCCCCACTTTCTTTTTGTCTTAGTGCATGATCGATTGGCCGAATCCCAAGGAAGTGCGCTCCGAGTGAGCGTGATCGTTTGGCCGAATCCGGCTGCTTCCGGAGTAGGTGTACTTGGAGTGGAATCCGACCACACCGCCTCCCCCCCCCCCCCCCCCCCACCGGGAGTGGAAATGGACTTCGCCAATTGGGGCGTTTTTGACAGCTTTCACAGATTCTTTGTACGATATGCGTACATTTTGCGTACTACACCCTTGCTTGATTTGATTGGGCCAGCGTTGCTCGGACCACACTGCCTGCTCGCACTCAAAAATCCAGATTCGCCAATAGATGACACCCTTATACGTTATCTTGCCAACTGCTATCAAAGCCCACCGTGAGTTAGCTGGTGACAATATTCTAGTTTTCGGACTCTTACCCAGCACTTTCGTTTCCTACACATTTCAATCATCCATTTTTGAACATACTATTCGATTTGTAAATGAAACTCCGGGTACCGTACGTGTATGCTCTGCACTCGCAGATGTACATGACGATGTACATAAGCTGAGCTTGGGTAACATTTCTTTCCACATGATACTCGGAGTACAATGTCATGTAGTTACATACTAAGCTGTACTTCTTTTGTAGTAGTTGGTATTAGAACTGTAAAATTAGTAGGTACACCGCCAAACCGGTCACCGACTGCAGCAGACAACTCACCTCCCACTCCAAGAGAAACCTATTTCTCATCACAATGTCGACGTCTTTGTGCAGTTTGAACTCCTCTCGTGCGTAAGCATTGCCAACCTCACGAGCCTTCGCAGGAAGGTGCCGATGTAGCTCTAATATTCTTCGGTACAGAATAGACACGTTCCGAGGGTGCGACATGTCCGCAATCAAACAAGCACAGCATAAATTGCCTCGTTGCAACAAGAGAAAGTGAGATGAATTCAAGAATCAAAGGGAGATCAACCCGGCTTCACTTCACTGTTCAGCTTTGCCACTTTCTGTTCGTGTTGCTGAACTCGTACGAGGTGATTCTGTTACCAAGGAGATATGGCACACTTGGCCGGCGGATCTTCGGGCAGTTTTGGGCGCAAGCACTGCTTGAAGCAGTCTACCATGGTCTACTCTGTAAACATGGTAAAACCAGGGAGTCGTCTAATATAATAATATTATTCTATTATGACTCCCTGGTGAAACCTTACTTCAAAGCCGAAGGAGTTTGAAATCTTTTATTCTCACAGTTGGAACCATGCTCGACTTCATTGACACGTTCACCGTAAGCGCGCTTCTTCTTGCATTCAAACCTTCGGTAGAGGGAGGGGAGGGACTTGGACCGATAGCTTGACTCGTGGGGATAAAACACCCTTGTATCGAAGAATGCGTTGCAGCTATCGGTCCAGAATCCTTCACCCGCAGGCACGGGCATCAGGATCAGTGTTCGCTGACCAATGGTGAAAGCTTTCACCAGTTCAGGGCCTGCTCTAGACATTCAACACAGCCCGGTCAGAGCGTACCTGGCGCATGCAGGCCAGCCGGGTCAGATCATCCGGCAGAAAAAAACCCAAAAAGCCTGCTCAAAACGCAGGAAAACAGAAAGGCGAATTTATTACCGGAAATCGGAAATTTTAGAGAACAAGGCGAACTATCAAAGTCCGCAAACGTAGAAGGTAAACGACATTACGTGAACAATGCAAAGCAGTTCCATTGGATTCTGATTCAACAATTTGAAAAAAAGGAATTCTGTTGGTGTAGCAGGACGAACATGTTCACATAATAGAGCACTGGGGGGTGCCTGCAGCACCTTGTGGAGTGGCTGCTTGCTGCCACTGCATCACCTGCATGGCCAAGCCGACTGCCATCATTCTGCTGCACCATCTGCTGAAAAGCTTCAGCAGACTGGAGAACCGGTGGTGTTGCAACTGCTGCTGCTGCTGCTGGCGCTGCAGCAGCTGCTGCTGGCGCTACTGTTGCTGGTGGCGCTGCTGTTGCTGGTGGCGCTGTTGCTGCTGCTGGCGTTGCTGCTGCTGCTGGTGTTGCTGCTGCCGCTGCTGCTCTGGGTGTGTGGGCCAGGTCCCTCCGTTCAGACGAGGTAGACGTTGCAGTCGTAGTGCGCCGAGTCACCTCAGTATGCCATGCAGCCATAGCCTTGTCGTAGTTGAGGTCGGCAACGGCAGCATGCCGATAATTCGAAGCAGTGAGTTTTTACCTTTCAACCACGCATCGCGACCAAATCCACCGCCGCTCGTCTTCCTTTGGAAATGCGTCTTGCACAAAGCGCATGACATGGATAGACTGGCATGGTCGTAGTCCGGCCTGGGTCGACCTTTTTTCCAAGAGTCTTGGGAAGCGTGAGTTCTTTTTCTCTTCGCTGCGGGCTCCATCGTCCAAACCACCAGTCTGCTGAAAACTTGCAACTGTGTCAAAAGCTATACCATAATAGGCAAAGTTCCGCTTTTGACTGCCTGCCGGCAGGCATGCCCCATCGACTTTGAATGTCCTGACTTCCTGCTCGCCGCTGGCCAGATCGCGCTCGAACCAGTTGACCCCAGTTGACCCTAGCCCAGCCGAGTTTCTGTCGCTTGTAGATCTACTTGTAGACTGTAGTTTGTACTGTTGCGCTAGATTCGCAACAGATGGGGACCGCGAGTCGTAAAATACCGGTATTTTAGGAATCCATTGTCAGTTTGAGACATTTTTCAGCCGGGTCAGACTGGACCCGGTGTTATCTGTTCAGCCAGGTCGTGCAGTTCCCCAGCCGGGCGCGTGACCCGGCTGACCCGGCTCTCCAGCAGGCCCTGCAGTTAGGGGCTGCAAATTCTCCTGCCTGCAATGTTGGCTCCACCTCCACATCATGATGGAGCTCCTTCATGTACGACGCGAGGAAGTCAGTGGGATCATTATGTCGCATGTTGATGAACCCCGACAGCTTGCAAATTTGCCAATTAATTTGGGCATGGTCGATTGAAAACCTTGACTTGGCTTGAGCCTGACTGACCAAGACTGTTGACTCACGTGATTATGGGGCAACGTAGCGACTACGTCCTTGGTACAGGACACTTGTTGTGTAGTCTCGAGATCTCCAGTGACCCCACATAATCATTGACAAGCCAGTACTGTACAGGGCTAGACTAGAGACAGGGGACAGGGTGCCGAACCGAGGGATCTGGTATCTGGTGAACCTGAACCGGCCAAAGACACCATCTTGCGACACCATCTTGCGAGACGTAACTCCGCCTTTGCTAACATGTACGTCCTGTTGAATGAGGACCTCGACCTCGCCGGGCCCTGTCCACCAACACTCAGGAGTCAGGTAACAGCACGCAGCCGACTACTAGTACTAGTATTAGTAGTATCAAAGAGGAGTACATGTACAGTGCAATGTGGCCCCATTGACATTGACACTGTTGTCCTTCTCCAATCGCTCCGATCACTGTCGGAGTCAGGCGATAGGAAGAGGAACAGCTGAGTAACGAGAGTTGGAACCAACTAAACATCAAGCCCTGACAATCATGTACGGGTCAAACGAAGCACTGACAAGTCTCTCCGTATTGATCATGCTGATGTACTCTCACCTCTTCTTCAACAATCATAGTTATTACACACTCGCTAGCTAGTGCACAGGCTAGACCCGTACCGTAACTTACTTGGCGTAAGGCACAAACATGATGACACTGTACACTGTATTGATTTTCTTTTGACAAGTACAATACAATGTGCATGTACATGGTTTGAGTACTTGTTATGTGCGTTACCCAGAGTTAGTTCGTGTTACCTGATAGAATGGAATGTGAATGTTCACGTACACGACTGTACATGTGGCATTAGATAAACCTTGTATTGTACATGTAGGAGAGGGAGGGAGGTGTTCCACCACCTTGTACATGATTGTGCTACACACGAACCTAACTAACTAACTAACCGTACCGCGTTCCTTACTTCAAAAGGCATAATGATAATGATAAAGAAAAAATGAGGTGTGGTACTTGTTGGTGTAGCTCTGTAGACAGACTACTGGTATGCGTAAATGATGGCTATTTAGTATTCTATCCTACACTTAGCATGATTGTGGAACTACGGTCGATCCTACGGATCTGTATTGCTCCCTGGTCTGCGAGCAGAGTGCAGCCTTTTTGCGCACATGTACTTGTACATGTACGGTCAGTGTATTCAGAAGCAGACAATCCCGATGTAAACTAATGAAGATCATAATGAACACTTATCAGGAGTCCACATTGTATTGATATGAACCTTGGTTATGGTGACTTACATCATGACTGTCTGGACTCACTATGATGTGTAATCCAATCAGCGTGGCCATGATTTGCATGCCTGACACTGTATGTAGATTTTGGTTTTGAGGTTAGTCTTGATTGACTGTTAGACTTGCTACAGATGAACCTTTTTACTGGTCATCGCCAAAAACTGCAGCACACTCATCTGAAAATAATTAAATTAGAGCAATTGGGCTAAGGAGCTAACGGTTCTTTAGTGCTTTGAGAAGGAGCACTAGACAATAGTACATGTACATGTAATTAGCAATACACGCAAAAGGCAGTAAATCGCTCGACTCGTTTGACCCAGTACTGCCTACTGGCAGTAGGGAAAAATGGGCACTTGCAGAGTGTACTGTACGTACATGTACATATGTGCGTTCTGTATCGTCTAAACTGGTGGGATTGTGGCCGCAGTGCCAGATGACAGTTCGGCAGAGGTCACCGCAAGCTCCAAATCATGCGACCGCCATGCAATGCGCCAGGCCAGGGCAGAGATTCACGGACGGGCCTGACAAGCGGTGTCCCAAGTAACGGACCTTGGGCTTGGCTCCGGGGCTCGAGGCTTGACTGCTTCAGCCTGGGTGCATACATGATTGTATATCTACCTAGAAAACAGTGTGAGTGCATGTAGCGAGTGCTGCGTGAGCATAACTGTGTACAGCCGGGGTGTGAACCTTCTGCGCTGCCTAGGCTCGAGTTTGACCATGCAGCGGATTTCTTCTATAAAAAGTGCCGAAAAGTGAACTGTTCTTCACCGTCGACGTCTGGATTGGATCATGCGTGGAGAGGAAGCTAGACATTTGCTTCTCGATCCTCCCCAGATCCTAGCTACGACACGTCCTTGCTGACCTTTTTGCACAGCAACCGTCGAAAGCCCTGGGGCCAACAAGAAGCTGTGGCGAAGCTGTGGCGTGGTCAACAACTAACTTCCTTCCAGTTCACGTTGAGGAAGAGTCCGCAAGCAACATTTGGTAAGGGTGGAGAGGAGGACATAAGGGCTTCCAACTCGGCATCGGAATCCGCCAGAATGGAGGCACCGCTGATTGGAAGCATCATAACCACACGAGCAGGTCTTGTCTTTCTACTCGGCGTATTCATACAGAGTGGATTATTAGTATCCAGCTCACTGAGCGATGTTATACCAGCGAGCCAGCGATGCGAGGAATTGGATCCAGATTTTGCTCCTGTGTGCCAGGGACTCGGATACAACCGAACTCGGCTGCCTAATCGCTTCGGACATGCCACCCAGAAGGACGCCGGTCTGATCGTGAACCAGTTCTTCCCTCTGATCGAAGTCAACTGTTATCGCAGACTACGCTTCCTGCTGTGCTCCATCTACCTACCCATGTGTCTGGACGGCCAACCAGCGTCTCAGCCTATTCCGCCCTGTAGATCGCTGTGCAAGAAGGCCAAATCGAAATGCGAGCCACTGATGCGCCAGTTTGGTTTTAGCTGGCCAGAGGATTTGAACTGCGGGCAGTTTCCAGTGCGCTCCACTGCCAATCAGATTTGTGCCAAGTCGGGTCGTAGTCCTAATCTCCAGCCTAGCACAAATAGCCCAGTAGCCAGTGACGGAGACCATGCAGTGAGCTCTGTATCCACAATTCCACCGGACCAAAGGCCAGCTGCAACAAGCAGTAGTCCAAGTATCGTTATCAGTCCAGTAACGTTACGGGATTTTCCCTGGCTTAGCACAAGAAGCAACGCTGATGCCCAAACTACAAAATCAGTGCCACAGCCAGTGGAAAGCAGCAGGGCAAACGGAGCGCCTAGCTGTGAAGCACTCGACTTCAGGCAAGCAGTTGTTTGCAGATCCGTGGGCTATAACTCCACACTCCTGCCGAACATGTTTGGGCATAGCAGTCAACAGGAGGTAAGCCGCATCATCAATCAGTTCTTCCCTGTCATTGAGACCGGCTGCTATGCTAGGCTACAGTTCTTGGTGTGCTCAGTGTATTTGCCAGTGTGTTTGCCTGGTTATACGCATCCCAGCATACCGCCTTGTAGATCAGTATGTCTGGAGGCCAAATCTAAGTGTGGGGCCGTAATGGAACTGTTCGGCCTTACCTGGCCAAACGAGCTGCAGTGCAACAGGCTACCTGCGTATTCCACAGCCAGCAAGCTTTGCATAGAAGAAGCACACCCTCCGGTTGTGATGGCTTGATCAAACAGTTGGTTTCATTTTGTATTTTATTTGAAGAACCGTGTGATCTGCTTGCACACTTGTCAACCTCTCTTACCCTCTCCTAAGATCTCAAAGACTCATAACTGTCAACATCCCCTCAACCCTGGAACCTTTGGATCCGTTGCATCATTTTCATCATCGGAAATACCTCATCAAATTCAAATCCGTTAATTGTAGTACTCCCCCATTGATTTGTTTCCGTCTTCTCTTTGTGCTTTGTTCATGATTGTATTTTCCTCTTCCTCCGTTTTTTTATAATTATCACTATCTTCATCGTTTTGCGAGAACTGCGGCTCAGTGAGAAGGCAGATTTTGCCTGTGCTTCTGGTGAAGTAAAATAAAGCTAACAAACAACCCTGGCAGTGTGTGATATGTGAAGGATACCACAATCACATGTATTATTTGAAACTCGGGTATTGAGCCAATAATAAAAGTAGAAAGGAAAAGGACATATGGAAACGAGTTAAGAGTAACTCTCCACCACTCTAACTAGATACTATATACAGTCAGAAAGTGCAACAACTAAGCACAAAACTGACAGTAACTCTCCACCACTCTAACTAGATACTATATACAGTCAGAAAGTGCAACAACTAAGCACAAAACTGACAGAGTACTGTATATAGTATCTAGTTAGAGTGGTGGAGAGTTACTCTTAACTCGTTTCCATATGCCCTTTTCCTTTCTACATGTATTATTATTATTATTATCATGTTGTCTGCCTGGTTGTTGCAACTGATTTCATTCGTAAGTATCCAAGCACAATTTGGCAGGCTGTCGGTCTTCCCCATGCATGAAAGGGCATGCAAAGTAATCAGCTCTGCCATACACCTACATGTACAATGTACATGCACATGATTGTACATGTACCTTGTCAATGCACATTAGGGTCCAGCGGATTCTGCCGGCAGAAAAATAATTGGCAGAATTCGGTACTTTTTCTGGTAAGTTTCATGCATGTTTGGTATGTGGATGAAGAAATGGAGCAGAATTCGAGGAATTGCCCGCCATAAGGTTTGTATGGTTCTGCCAATTTTACTGCTTTTCGAGCAGAATCCGCCGGTCCCTAATGCACATGCTTGCTTTTGGAAGGGTAGTTGTGGACAATGATGAGTGTAGGTGCAGTGATTTATAGCTAGAATCCAGTACCTCCCGCTCAATCAGCTGTCATCAAGTCATTATCATAACCAACAGTCGACTTTTGCAAAATTTAAAGGGGAACTGTCACCAAAAATTTTCTTTGTCTTATCTTGTAGTTCTTTGGCTCCTGATCACCATGATCACGATGGTGTTATCCGTTTTTCTCTGCGATGGCTGGAAGTGGGTGAAAACGTGAAAAGTAGGTGCCCAAAATAATTGTCCCGAAGTACCGAGTGACGTCACGCAGGACTTGACCTCGGCCTCCACGCGTACATTCGTCGTCAAAAACGAAGTCCAGCCCGTGTGCTGGTCGATCGAGCTAGCTGTTCTAATGTACGCGTATACGGTGCACGTGTGCCTTTTGAACTGTAACACAGATCATGCAGATGGGAATGACAAAGAGGCAGAGACCCACGTGCAGCTACACACTGGTAACACAGCCAAATCAAAATAAAAAGCAGCTGAGCTTTCCCCTTTTTGACTTCTTCCGCGAGGATGTAAGTTTTATTTTGTGAGCACGGAAGTACGTTGTTGTCTTGAACTTTTCGTGTGAGGAACAACACGATGATGAGTGCGTATGCAGAAAACAGTACTCCTCCGGCCGGCGATAACACCACCAACCCGAGCCCCAAAGGAACGCGATGTAGGTACGTGAAGGCGATTCATCTGGCGATGTTGCTGAAGATGCAGATGACAAACTCTGATGTCTTTCATTTCAGAGCCGGGTGGACAACACCGCCACCTTCGATACAACGACATAATTTTCAAGTACGAGGTATGTGTGTCACACTAAACAGCAAACGAACATCCTTCGACTCCTTCGTAATCACAAATAAAACAAAGAGCTGGAGCTTCGTGGAGGAAGTACCAGTGCGACAAACTGCTGTAGACTTTTGTTTATTTTGTCCCTTTTTGGCGTTCTCATTGTGTACAACGTACACATCGAGTGTCCGAGTTCAGAAGGCAAGCGTGCACCGTACATCGAACAGTTGGCTCGATGGACCAGCACACGGGCTGGACTTCGTTTTTGACGATGAATCTACGCGTGGAGGTCAAGTCCGGCGTGACGTCACTCGGTACTTCGGGACAATTTTGGGCACCTTCTTTTCAAGTTTTCACCCACTTCCAGTCATCGCAGAGAAAAACGGATAACACCATCGTGATCAGGAGCCAAAGAACTACAAGATAAGACAAAGAAAATATTTGGTGACAGTTCCCCTTTAATATGTTCATTGTTTTCTCCTGCCATCATGTCATCTGATCATTGAGGGTGGTGGCGTTCCCATGGAAGCAGAAAGCTCAATCTCCTGCGAACCATGCATTTCTTTCTTTCTTTTCCTGTGATTGTTGTTCTGTTGTGCATGCTAAAAGCCGTGCACTTATTCTGAAGTGCAAAACCCCAACTGACCTCAATTCAGGTCCGCCTGCTGAATCTGCTCTGATGACAACTGAATATGGGTCTGAGGAGAGTGCTGATATAAACTTATTTAAAACGGTTTTTGTTGTTGTCTTTCCTTCACCAATTGGCCAAGCCAGAAAAGCTCGCCACATGATTTGCATTTATGTACAGTGCGACTACTAGTAATGCCATCCCAAGCCATGCACACACTCTGTTGGCAGTATTCAGCTAACTTTCTGTTACTAGTCGTGACAGTGTATTCTAGTACCATACTACAGCGCTGGCAACTGAAATCCAGGGGTCGGATTTCAGTTGCCAGCACTGTACATTGTAGTAGTGAGGTCTTTCGATTGTCAATTTTAATTAATTATTTTGTAGGAAGAAAAAAAGGTTTCAGAGCAGACTTGCTCTCTTCCCATTCACTCTGCAAACTCGAACTCATTTCTCTATCAATCTTTACGTTTCGGCAAAATTGCCCTCATCAGGTATTGATTGAAAAAAATTGATTGAGAAATGAGTTCGAGTTTGCAGAGTGAATGGGAAGAGAGCAAGTCTGCTCTGAAACCTTTTTTCCTATGAATGAAGCTGCAGGAAGCCTCACCACTTCTACTAAATTAATTCTTTGTCATGGTCTACAGCTACGCGCCTCCTCCACCGACACCTACATGTAGGACTGCTAGCACAGTGTGCTTTCTGTCCGACAGTTCAAGTTTTTTTCATTGCGTACATGTACATGTGTACTAGCACACCGCCTCTTTCTGGTAAGTAACATACAATGTAGCTACGCGCAAAAGAAAACCGTACTGAAGTGTTTGTTAGAAGTGACTGTTCACTGGAAGAGTTTTAAAACAATGATTGTGTACCTGGTAAAGAAGCATGTGCTGAGCATGAGTAGCCCATGCAAAGGCTACAGTAGCATACTGCCCTGACTGTTATGATAATATAATTTTAAAGTACAGGATGCCCAACATCACTTACATTGTTGTTGCTGTTGTTGTTGTTGTTGTTGTTGTTGTTGTTGTTGTTGTTGTTGTTGTTGTTGTTGTTGTTGTTGTTGTTGTTGTTGTTGTTGTTGTTGTTGTTGCTGCTGCTGCTGCTGCTGCTGCTGCTGCTGCTGCTGCTACAGCAGCTACTGCTGTGGCTGTAGTTACAGTCCCTCTCGTTGTCAGGAAATGTTTGCTTGTGCTACTTCTCATCCAGTTGACTTCTTATTATGACTTTGTACGTTATAATTTTGTTGAGCTCCGGTTTTCCCCTTCATTCTAACTCAAGTGCAGTTTAGCGTGTATTGGCTTGTGATTTCCTTTCTTCTGTTTGCTTGGCATTTTATCGCTCCACAGGTACCCTCGGTCTCAGGTGCTCTCACATTTGTGCAATTGTTGATTTTGGTCCTGAGTTGTCCTCCCTGTGCTTTGCTACCGTCCTCCTCCTTCCTCCACCTATTTTTTCTTAATTGGCCTCATTATGGCATTCGCTTCCATGTAATTGGGCTTGTAGCCCGTGTGTACTTGCGAATTCAAATAAAAATATACATACATACATACATTGTATCATGATTGTACCTTACTACCTTACTCAGTCACAGTGTGTACATGTACTGGTACTTACAAGTCATGTGCATGACATATACTTACAATAATTATTATTATGATACAGAACTACATGTGAACTGTCGGCATAATGTCAAGTTACTTGTCCCATTTGCCCCAAAATTGCCGGATTAATTTTTATAAATCATACATTCTCCCCTGTTCACGTACGGCTTCCCTGCCTGGTCCATATAGGTAAATAATTAGAAGTTCTCCATCGCCGTATACTGCGCATCATATTAATTTTCATACTGATCGTTATAATATTATCTCAAATCTAGACTTGTATGCTGCTGCATCCACTACCACTCTGCAACATTACCTTGATGCTTCCAAGTTCACCCTGGCACATTCAATTTTTCTTGACCAGCACCCTGCTCATTTACAGTCCCAATAATTGGTTCAATTCAGGTGGCACCACCCGAAGCTGCGTTCGTCTCCCGCTAGCTAGGTCTACCCTATTCGTAAAATCCCCTTTCTTTTCCTCCTACTCCACGTGGCTCCAACTGCCTCCCAGTGTTAGACAAGCTCCAGATATGCCCAAATTCCGTACCCTCGTCAGACAGCACTTCAGTATCTCCCAGTAAACAAAGTCACAGTCACCACTTCCGCTGCATAGCTCGCTGAGCATCCCATTGCTTTGTAAGTTGCTAATCCCTTCCCATTTTGTGTACGTGCTCTTCATTTTCTTTTTTTCTCTTCTTCCGTGGTTGGTCTCACCCTCTCCTCAATTCAATTGGCTGTCTTGACATGCCACGAGGTGCAGAAATAAATAAATATATAAAATAAATACATGTACATGTACATTTTGCTGTTTGTTGAATGTTTTGCTTTGATTTTCTGTGGAAAGGTGCTGACTGGGGTTTATCCATGTTTGAGTGGGGTCTATTTGATCGCTTTTTAGTGGTTTCTATCTCATGTTCTTCAGGGTGTGAGACTTCATTCACACTTGTTCTCTTGTTTTACGCCTTCTTTTTGATGGTTTCTGTCAACATGTAGTACACTGTTGAAGTATGTACATGTACATGTACATGAATATGGTGTACCATGGTACACCATGGTACACCATATTCATGTACACGGTTTTATCTACAGTATCAAAAAAGTATTCTCTTTAGACCAAGAGTGGTACATGTACATGTATGTACCGTAAAGTACCGTTGATCCGCCCCCACGCCATGTCGCTTCCCAGCTGGGTTTTCGGCAGGGGGCGGGAATTAGATCAAG